AAAAAATGAAGCAACTTAAACAACTTACATTGAAAGAAATGTTTAATAAAGTAAACAAATAAATATTAAGCTTTTTTTTTTTTTTGTAAATTTTGATACCCTTTAGATCATAATTATTCTTTATTTAATAAATTACGGTTTCATATTTTTAATTTTATAATTTCTGCATGCCATCTTATCAGATTTAAACTGATGATCTATAATCCGGAAAAATCGATAATCCGGAATCGCCGAAGTCCCGACGAGTCCGGATTAACGACTTTTGACTGTATTTATAACAATTAATGTATTCAACCACATAAAAATTTTTACTTCAAATAAAGATTTTTTTTTCAATATATCAAACAAATTACATTTGTATGTTTATATAAAAAAATATCTAGACTTACATATATGTTTGAAATGTAAGGCTATTCTGACCCAGAATCAGTTAACGAACCATTATTTAATGGCATGTTTTATGACTTATGCAATCAAAACACTGATGAACTTTATTATCCTTTTATCTCAAATTTTACTATAAATTAATCAGCAAGAGTGATTATTTGACACATTACAGCTACCTGTCTCATGAGAAAGTGGACTTTACAAAAAACTCGTGTGAGAAACTTGTTCATATTTATGTCGCACAGCAGAAAAACATAAAAAAAAAAAAAAAAACTCATGAAGCCAGAATGATCAATTGCTACAAATAGAACTATGGAAGAATTTGGTAGTAATGGCTTTTAACTACTTAACCATTGAATGGTTTTCAGTAGATATGAGACATATTCACGATGAATTATTTTTTTCTGTTTATACCTGGTCACCTAATGAAAATTGATTGCATCCATCTTTTTATTTTATTCAAAATATTTAGAACTTATAACAGAAACAAAATTTTAAGAAACATATCACACAGATTTCAATCAATATTTCTACTGAAAAATGAAACAAAACCTTTGTTTTGAAATAAATTAAAACCAGATGAATTAATGCATGTGTATCCTGTAATGAGATAAAATATTAACTATAAAATTAAAATGACGCAGTTATTTGTAGTTCATTTATGAAATCCAAATAAATGTAAAATTATAAGCATAATGAATTATGACATTTTGTGTAGAACTCTAAAAGTTGTGAATATACAAAAACTTTAACAGGGTTCGTAGCCACATTTTAGTTAAAAAAATAAGGGTTGATCTTTACAATATGGTAACTGGTGGTTTGGCGACATTTTGGAGGCGATAAAGGTTACTACCTGGGACTTTGGTAATAATGTGAGCAGTACTCAGTTCCGATTACGCATTATTTTGTGTGAGGGAAATTACAGATCATGGGATATGTCATGTGATATTATTGGACGAATTACGGTTCTTTAATCGGAAAAGGGGGGAAATCGGGAAAAAATCTGGAAATTTTGTATTTGGCTTTATGCTGTGTTGTGTGAAACAGTGTTCGTGAATTTTTGGATCCCATGGCTGTAACTAAAGTGAATTCGAAATGGGTATTTATGTATGTATTAATTTAATGTATGTGCTCATTTATATTTTAAGTAGTGTTTTTGAATTTAATTATATTTTAATTAAATGATAGTTATTTTGTGAATTTTATGTTTGTAGGAGTTTGGTACACGTTTAAGTTGAAGTAAACGTGCATGGAAATAATTTAAATTTTTGATACTAAGTATTTGTAATGCTTGCGGTATGAATTCGTTGGTGACGTGTATAATGTAATAGATGATTTAGAGGTTTTTGGATATTTTATTTATTTTATATGTGGAAATGTTCATATTTGGAAAGGGTAAATACTTTTTCGCGATCAGGTAATTTCATATATGTTCTTTTTACCGGGTTTAAAGATTGAGAAAATTGTCATGTATTTTCGTGAAATTTTTCTAATTTATGAAAAAAAAAGTGTACATGGATATAGTGAAGAGTGTGCGCAATGCCATTTTTGTGCAATTCTGGGATGTTTTTTTTAAGTAAAAATAAGTCGGCGTGTACATGGTTTATGTGTATGTGTTATTTTGAAAAACGCGTAAGGAGTATGGTATTGTGCACTTTTTTCCCAATTTTTTGCAGTGAATATTTGTCATGATTAAGCAGTTTTGTTAGATAAAATTTCTAGCATAAGTGTAATTCGGCTAGTAGATTGTTGGAAGAAGTGTTCAGTAGATAAAAAGAAAAGAAACATGTCTTTACTTTGTGAAGACAAAATGTCGGCGGGAAAAAAAAATAGAGGGTTGCTGTAGGAGAGTTGGTCGCCAAATTTTAGCCAAAAAAACGCCAAGTTACCATAATGTAAAGATCAACCAAAATAAGTACCTATAAGCACTTTTCAAGCACATTTTAAGAAAAAATAAATAGCACCTATCTAATTACATTATACACAACTGCATAACCTTAAAAATTAGACTTACATTTAAAATATGAGAAATTCAGTATTTATTAAGAGAGAATGAGCATTACTCAACCATGGAAAACAATTACATTCTCTCTCACTCTCTTTTTTTTTTATTTTAAATAACAGTTAAATTTACAGAACTAGTTTACAATGAAAGGGAAAAAAAACTATGCAGAACTAAATTATATTACAAGATTTAATGATGGAATTTCAGTTCAAAATAGAGAAAATAAATAATAATAAGCCATATTTATTATATTCGCTTGGCACCTAAAAATAAATACAATTTATTTTTCCACTCATATTAATATTTAAATAATTTAACTTAAATCAAAATTCTGAACATTTTCTAAATTTTTATTGCATAATAGTTTTTTCGGTACTTTTCCGTTTTGCCGCCGCAAGCGATAAAGTCACCAATAATGGTACAAAACCGATGCCAAACGAATATTCTCGCTGTAACCTTTTACGCCTCATTTTGAAAACAGTCGCAGCTTTTTTCTTATCAGATTGATTGTGTTTCTTTCAATACTGGCATATAATTATATAGAATTTTTATCAATAGTTCAGTTTATGTCTAAGGCCATTTTTGGTAATTAAGTCAATTAGGAATACAATCACAGCGCTTACCCGGAGCCGAAAATATAGAAAAGGTAGGGTTAAATTCATCAATTCTAATGAGAATGCATTAGAGAAGTAAAGCACTGCAGTATTACATAATTTCTGAGTAAGCTATTCGTACGAATTGAAATATTTCTTGCATTTAAACTTGTGTTCGAAATTAAGATTTAACTTGAAATTAATGTAGATAATTACTGAGAGCATTAGATTTTTGTAGAGTAGTTTACGTGAGATGAGATCGCTTGGGGTCACGTAATATGAACCGGCGATCACGATGTTGAAACCATGAAAGCATAGTAAATTCTTAAATTAACGTCTTTTTACAAATTTATTGCCTTTATTTATTGGCTTTTTATATAATTTTAAGCGATATTAAAATGTTTATGCCTTCAAAAAAAGAATTCTTAGAACTAACATTTTTTTAATATTTTTTATGTGTATACTGTATGTTGTCGCCAATAAAGTCTGCTTGGCGAGATTTGCGCCGGCGAAACGGAAAAGTACCGTTTTTTCTTAACAGATATTGCAAGCAAAGTAATTTAAGTAAAAATAAGTAAAAAAAAGGAACTTTTCTGAAATCAGAAGACGGGAAATTGCTTCATGCAGACATCCTTTAACAGTAAAAGCTTAACTAACTGGCCTACTCGGAAATTGCCGAATATCTGAAAATTCCGGATAGTCGAGCATAACTGGTAAAAGAGGAAAGGAGGTAGATTGTAGCAGTTCTTTAGATTTTTTAGCTAAATAATGCTTTCGACATTTCAATATGTGCATCATATAAAAAATAGCCCAATAGAACTGAAAAATAATCTGCTTAGCAAGCACAGTAAAACTTTTATCTCTGCAAAATATCGCAAACGTTATTACGTAATAGGAATCAACAGCTGCCGGTATTCGGAGAATAAATAACTAAATAAAGGAAAATGCATCTTTGCTCTTCATATGGTTCGCACCGTCATGCGCTTATGTGGCATATTTATCATTGAGCAGGACATGTCGCGTGCCATACTCATATTGATTAATAGATTTACCAATCAGGTGTTTTTCATTCTGATTTTTAACAGACTGTGTTAAATTTCCGGAACAGAATCATTCTTTGCCTGGGTTGGCAGACCGCAGAACTTATAGTCCGATTCAATACAGGTTGGAAAGTGACCCCCCCCAAAAAAATGTTCATTGTCTGCTTTGCTGCGAACTGTAATTTCAATATTCGAGATTTTGCGGAGAAAGGGGAGAACCCCCAACTTCCATACTGTATAATGAATTGGCCAAAAAAAAAAAATTATTTTGATTATTTGATTACTTTCAATTTATTTATGCCCTTCCAAATATTATTCCTTAGAAAACTAATCTGCGTTAAAACACGCTTATCCATTTTTGAAGTTTATCTATACTTCAGCAGTTACTGCAAATATATTAAAAACATTCATAGATATGATCATAATACAAGTATTCCGATCATAATAAATGTGAATATGAACTGACCATGTGGATCAAGAATGTAAATTATTAATATCTTGATAGAAATTCAAATGTGTGTAGTATTGGTTGGGAGCAAAAGAATACGGAACGTATCGGAATTTTCTACCGCTTTCGCAATTCTTTGACCAGTAGAACAACGTGCACCTGTCTGTACTCGCCCACACCAAAGGTTATGTTAATGCAGAGAAAGGGGCAAAAAGCTATTTCTGGGAGTATGATTCACCATCTGACGTTCCATATAAGGAAGAAAAGTTGTTTATTTAGTTTCGGCTTTGGTACGGGTAAAAAGTATGCGTTCGTTTAGAAAAAAAGCACTAAAAGCAAAAAATAAGCACTAAAAACAAAAAAATAAGTGCTTTAGAGAAAAAGTAAGCACCTATAAGGTCTTTTATATTTTATTTTCAAATATAAGGATTTTATAAGCACTTGTAAGGACCGCTACGAACCCTGCTTAAAAAGAATTTAGACAACAGTAAATACTTTGAGGCAGGTGGTTTATAAAAATGTCATACCTCAAATTGCTGTTGTTTCATTCCTTGTATACTTCCAAAATCTTTACCAACTTCCATTATTTCTGCTGAAGAATTATTAACTACCTATTAAGTGATAACAAAACAGGTTTCATGCATTAATATATACATGTATAAAAAGATATAATATGTATATAATTATCCACAAATTATGTTACATACAAATTAATGTTCTCTTAATTTTAACTGCCACCAGTCATTAATGTGCAATATGAAAAGCTTAAAAAAGCTAAAATTAAAATATTTTCATCTCTTTAGCTGAATAAATGACAGCCTAAATTTTATTTTAAAATGCCTTTTAACAGAAACAAACTTTTTTGCTAAAGAAGTAATTTAGCTACATCCACATTGAATTAAACACCTACATATTTCTGTAGAAAAGCCTTCCATGAAAATCATGCCATAAAAAGCTATTTGGTATTTAGTCATACATGCTAAAGAATAAATAAATAAATAAAAACTTTATGCAGATAATCTGTTTCATAAGTTGTGTTAGGTATTTAATTTGATAAAGCGCACAAGATTTATTTATTTTGATCTATGGATCCTTCATTGATGATTTCGGAAAAAAAAAAAAAAAAAAAAAAAAAAAAAAAAAAACTGACTGAAATTCACACTGCAGAGAAAATACTTTACAGAAACCACACAATAAGTTGCTCACCTAAGAACTGAACTGTATGACAGCTTTATTGCATAGACAGGCAAAAATTAATTCAACATTATGTTTTATTTCAAACCTTTGGTTATACGACAATCTTACCCCTAATGAAAAAATAACATACATTTTATGTTTTCTTAATTAAATAATCATTATGTTAAAAATTTTCTATACGTACTTTTTCCATAATTTTTACATAGTTTTAGAGAAAAATAAATATATGATTATATTTCCCTATACTGTCTCCAGAAAACTGGAGCAGCAAGAAACAATGGAAGTCAGCCCGAATATAAACTTACATATTCATATTTCAATATTTTAAACCCACAAAATGCTTATACGACTTTTATTTTCACAATTGTTCGTTGTAGGCATATACTTTCGGTTATAAAAATGACATAAAGATTTCTGTTGTGGAATTTTAAAATTTAAAGAAATCAGTTTTATATAAAATACAAAATCTAACTTTTTACATGTTTCTCTGGTTCCCTTCACTTATATTTAGAAAACTTTTGTACTCATCATAAAAATTAAAACACAAATAGACTTTCATATAAAAAATTTATCAATTTGCAACATTTGATGTCAATTTTATTTGAAAAATAGGAACTAGTAAATCAATAATTTGAGGTTGACTTTTCCTCTCCTAAAGATTATTCAATGATACCGTTTTGTGATTTACTAATAACTTTTCTTTTAATTATTATTATTTCCAATGGCTAAGCAAAAAGTTACAAAGAACTAAAATCTAACAAAAAGACTGAAGTCATTGCCTAAGGAGCACTCTTGCCTCTCAGTATCTCGACACTTCTGTAACACCACGAAAAGTTCCACATCGAAGCATGTGGTCTCTGTCAATTTCTTCTCCAGAATTCATAGATGAGGAGTAGGAAGGCTGCATGCCAAAACTGTAGATCATTTAGCAGCAAAGCATTTCCAGAGTGCACCATGAGGAGGTAGATCTACATCACACTACATAGATAACTTTAATCTATAATTTTGTTAGAAATGGTATGCAAAATGCGCATGTGCATTTTAAATAATTAAGTAATGCTTTTATTTGTATTATTGGTTAATGTCATCTAAAATTATGAGAATAAGTCAATTTTTATGGCGTAAAATTTTAACAAGATAATATATTGTTAATGCTTTTCTAACAATAATCTTTCAGATGATGGCAGGTGTGACATAAATAGATGATGAAATTGAAATTAAAAAAAAATATTATTGATTATCTAAGATGACAGAATAGTTTGATGCATGAGCGTGGTCATCAAAATTAGCAAACCACTGCTGGTGTAAGGAATATATTGTTTTCTGTGTTAACTGGAATTTATGAGAAAATTTTTTTCGTATATCCCGTTTAACCGGTAAATTTCAGTATATTAATACTAATTTATATTTTTTAAATGAATTTTTATTTCCGTTATAAATGCTTATATATTGTCTTATGCTTAATAATATATTCTTTTCTGTGCTAACTTGAATTTAATACAAATTTATTTTCGTATATCCCGTTTAACTGGTTAGTTTTACACTTACATGCTTATTATCTGTGAATTTTTACTACCATATGCTTAGTATATTGTTTTATCTGCTAACTTGAATTTACATGCACTAAACACTAATTTTAAAAATATCACGCTTTTTTTAAAAATCACATTTTAAAAATATCACGCTTACGGCTCGGCTCATCATCGATGAACCGCGACCTTGGCGAGTATAAAAATGCAACGGCGTCAACGGGTTCTCTGCGGATGAAAACCCACAAATATTTTTCATTTTGAATTCATGCAAATAATATTATAAGTTTGCTATGCTGAAGCCTGCCACTGTTTTCTAGAACAGGAACTCTGTAAGATTCTGTGTATAAGATCTCTCATTTTGAAAAAATATCATATTGATAATTATTATTTATAATAATCTGCATAGAATTGTTCATCACTTAATCTCTCAGCATCAGAAAACATTTTCTAAACGATAGTTACGTACAAAGGCAATTATTTCGCTCTTCAATTTGTGTACGGCCTTTTAATACGATCACCAGATTTTAAAATGTAACATCTCATTCTCATGCACAAGAGTCGAACGGCAATACAAAATTAACCTTATTAAAATAAGAAAATATGAATCTTCGTGTCACGTAGCTGAACGTATATGTCTACGACCAGAGGTTGCGAAAATACTGGCCGGGTGAGGACTTTTGTAGACACGGCGACACAGCTTATATATATAACATTTTTTATAATTACGGTTTTCCCCAAACTGCATTTTAATTAAGGATGTTTTTACGTTAATTATAGGAATAATGTTAAAAAATAACTCAGATGTTCCATCTTGTATTGCCGAATAATAACCTAACAACAAAATTAACTACCCTGCTGCTATTAACTATTGCAGGAAATAAGAATTCCGTGTGGCTTTATCGACACAGATTATTAAATATAGCGTGTGAAGTGCATAGATTGCATCTATAACGTATTGAATAGCTTACCTTTTTTATAACTGTGATAACGGATATGATTTATTACATAAATTTTCACATTAAATACTTTAAAAAGCATTTTATCGACTGCTGACTCGATAACCTTACGAACAGTCGAAGTACACAGATCAAGGAGGTTAGAATACATGGAGATGGCGTCTCTGCTGTCGCAATACGAGGAGAGTGAAGCCGGGGGAAGCAAATAAGCCACGCCTCGTGAGGGCAAGAAAACGCTGCCCTTACTATGTGAAGTGAGGTTAAACATCAGCTTGTTTGAAGTTTTGAGTGTGTTTTCTGATTTCTTATGTGAAGACGTGAGAGGGTTATAAGGTACTGAATGGTTACATTGAAATAATGTCTACATTTCGGATTTCATTTCCATATAAAAGAATGTTTTTTTAACATGCATAAATAAGTAGAATAATTGAAATGTGCGTTTGAAAAGCCGTCAGCAAAGAGTTTGAGTATTTTCTCGGTGTGACGTGCGCGAAGAAACATCTATAATTCTCAGATTTTTCTTCAATTAATGGTTTGAGTATTATACTCGTAATTAACTGAGTTGTAAAAGCAAAACGGTAAGTAAACAAGGGAAGGGGGAGTGGTCAGCTCATCGTGGAAAAGAAAACGCGTTATTTTAAAGGTGTGATCATATTATATTACAAGTCATATTTTATGTATTTAATTTTATTTTCTGTGCAAGTAAATATTTAATAACAGGATTTAATTTGGGGTGAAATTTGTGGGAGTTTTAAAAATAACAATGCAGAATTTAAATATTATTTTTTATCATTGTTCATGCAATTTAATATTTTTCAAAACGTAAGTAGTATTTCTAACATGGAAAATTGAGAATTATACTTGTATATATTAGAATAACTAAAATATAATCAATTAATGATTTGAGTATTTATTTATTTATTTTCACAATACCTTTTATTGCTAGCATTCATTCATTAATGACAGCATGTAATTACATAATGCATTTCTCATTTAACTCATTTTAAGGGAATCAGTCCCTTTGTACATATATTTTTCCTCTGCATTTCAGAGTAATTCAATTTGTAAACTATGATTAGTTCATTTTATCTTTCAATTTTTGCTAGGAAGTTCAGTCTAGTTTTTACATTTATTTCATACATATTTAAGTCAAATGATATTTATTTCACATATGTATTAGGAATTTTAATAGCACTTTGCCTACTTTTACATTAAGATTTCACTGTTAAAGATTGACTGGTGCTGATTTGTTCAAAAATAAAAAACTAATCATAAGCATTTTTATTTTATTCAAAAAAAAAAAACTTTATTTAACATGTAGAGTTCCATAAGAAAAAATCATGTATAAAAACTATAAAATATGCAAATACAAACATTATTTTGTATTATAAAATATACAAGACATGCAAGTTATAGAATATACAAGTTATGCAATATTTCTATCATTAAATAATCAGGTTATCTCAGTTCATGAAAATTTTGTGTGCATGAAAAGTAATTTATTCAATAGTAAAAATTCTAATTTACTATAAGCATTGCACAAATGATAGATATATGTAACTACTAGTTAGCTGATAACATAATATTATTTTATAAAAAATTAACAGGATATAACTACATAAGTTTTCAAGGAAGAAATATCTGTGTCGTTAATGAAGCTACAATAATTTATAGAAATGATAAAGTGAATTGCATAGATATATATAAATAAAATTTTACAAAATAAAATAAATTACATACATAAATAAAATTACATAAATTACATATAAATAAACAAATAAAAGTATGGTATATTACATCATAACTTCAATTAATGAGCAGTTCATTCAAGACATAACAAGCTCTGTTTGTGAAACAGAATGCAGACAAATTCCATCTGAATATAAAAACTGTAAATTACTCAAAGAAAATCTCAATGCAGTTGGTAATTTGCTTACTGCCCTTTAAACAATACCAGTTTTGTGAATTTCTGTCGTATTTTCTGTTTGTGTAGAAAAAGGGTGTTCTGTTTTGCTTCATAATGAAGCCGTATATTTATGTAATGCATAGCAATGCATTTGACTAAATAGAATAGATGATTATGCTCGGGTTCAGTATCCAGAGCATGATTTTTTAAACTTTCAAAGATGTTTACATCAAGACATTTAATTAAAACATCTGTAATTATAGTTTCGACTTTAGAAGTATTAATTTCTGACAGAGGATACATATTCAAATATCTTCTGAAAAGTATCTCAGTCTCTTTACATATTTTAATGGTATCCCAAGAAGGAAACATAAGTCCTCCGCTAGATTTTATATCTATCAATTTCCAATTTTTTTTTTCTGATGAATAAAGTGCTTCAATGCATTCAGAGCAGAAATTGTTTGTTCTGTTTTCCGAACAATAAAACCCGCAATATATGCAATAGTTTTCTTCTAAATATTCACTAGGCCGGAAATATAAAGAAAGACAGTAATCATGTTCAGCCAATATATTATCATTATGAGTTGTTTCTTCATTTTCTAATATGAAATTTCTTCGGCTACTTTTTGATTTATGCCTTCTGTTGGATTTTTGTTGTGAAGAACATACAAGGATTTTATAGTTTTCTATTGCCGAGCAATTTCCATTTTTATTAATTTCTAGTTCTTGATGAACAAGAATTTTTTTTTAAAGCAGAAATGAATTGCCTGCAAGTTGGATTATTATTGCAGCCAAATTTTGATCTTATATACCCAAACAGAAGCTCTATGTTATCTTGATTAAATTTGTACAATTTGTACATATTTACTTCAGTTCTTCTTTCTTTACTAATTTTTCGAACACTCCCTTGCTACTTTCAATACAGATTAAAAATCCTAAAAAACCTGTTTTTCTGTTGCTAAGTACTAGAGGTGTTTTCTCTCTCTTCCAGAAAGGTTTTCAATGTAAAACTTTGCTTCGCTGAAGAATTGTAAAATAGTGGAATAATTTTCAGTGCACACATTGCTTTTTTATAGGAAGCCTGGTGAATACTTCTGGAATTTAAAATATCGAATAGCCTATTAAATAATTTGATGAATCGTATTGTGCCTGATGCATCTTGAAAGCCATGAATTTCTTTTTCTAAACAAAACTGCAGAGCATCACCTACTGAATCACTAAAAAGTTGTGCAGCTAAATTTACTTTCATTGGTTGTTTTTTCCAAAATACATGGTGCCGTTTCAATTTATTTGCCAAAATGAAGGCCCTCTTCTTCTTGTAATTTATTTAAATTAACTATGTGTTCCCACTGAATTATTTTATGTTCATAGTCAATTAGAACACCTTTGTCCCCAAAAGTATTTCTTACCAATTTTAAAGCATGGCAAGGATCCAGGAAGAAATATATGGGTTGCTGTGTTGTGGGATGGAGGAAGAAAGTTTTAAAATCATCCAATTCAAAACTGCAGCCTAGATTTTTCATCATTGAGAAATTTGAAACGGCACCATCACATGTCAGACTAACAATATTAACATTTGCTTCACTTAACCATCTTAAGCAATTAAGAATAACTGATGCACGCTGCTCTCCACTTAATCCAGCTGTAAAAAAGTAGCCTACTGGAAGCTTCCAGTTACTATTAATACAATTTACCAATAGTACAAAAACTTCTTTTGCAACAGACCTTTCGTCACCATCTAAATGTGTTCCAATATCAATATATCCAACATACTGTTCACCATTCCATTCTACATGTTGTCGAATTGCCATTTCGTCAACAATTAATGAACAGAATACTGGATACTGACTTGTTGAACTTTTTGCTTTCAAAGCTGCTAAAGCTTCTTTGCAGAATCCTGGTGATGCATCTAAACTTTCATACCATTTAGAAATGGTACGTGGATGTGGTAACCCAGTGTCAAATTGCTTTCTGACGTAACAGTATGCTTTGGGTGACAAGAAATTTAAAGTTAATGCAAAAGAACGAAGTTGGGGGGAGTATTTGTTATGTTTTTTCTTAAGACGTAAATTAATTTCTTTGGAAATTTCTCTGGAATGTTATTCAAAAGTTCATAGTACTCATCTATAATTAAATTTTTATTTTTCAATTCGAGTAGAATATTTTTATACGAAAGCAATCGCTTTTGTAAGCGTCGTTTTGTTTGTTGCAGCCCTTTAACTTGAATTTTTTTTTGCCTTCTTGAGTTGCAAAGAAGTTTTCGTCAGTTTTACTTTCAACGTTTTTTTTACAGGAGAATCTTCTGTATTACTGCATGTTTCATCAGCTATGAATTCTCTAGTTTCTGAGTTGGCAGGAGCAGGTCTCTTAAATGGAACTTTCTTAGTCTGTGGGAAAAAAAAAAAAAAAAAAAAAAAATTAGCGCTGAAATACTTACGTACATTAGAACAGCTTATTTAACATCTTATTGATCTAAATATATACAGTGAATCGTCTCTTGAGATAATTAATAATCACAGTGGAGGTGATGTTCTACATTTATGTTCTTATATTCGCAGAAGTAATGATTGCGCTAATCGCTATGACAAAGCGCTTAAAGCTAATGCCTTAACAATTTCTGTAATTTTAATATTTTTTTATTTGTAACATACATTATTCCTTTTGCAGTATAAAGAGGGAAATCTACAAATATTAAGTATTAAAAAATATATATGTTCATTTATCAGTTACACAGTAGGACATTGATTATTTGAATGCAGTTTTAAAAAATTTTTGGCCTCTCAAAAATTAAATTATTTTTAAAAATCTTTTAATAACATAGAGTTTCACACTGATTTAAAAAAAAATCTGAATCCATGCATTCAGAGAGAAATATATTAATGAAAATTAGTTGCTACAATAAATTAAAACATTTTGCTAAATACGAAGTTTTGGATTACCAATATATATCAGCCATTGAGGGACTCGTCACCAGAAATGCTTTTCAATGTTAGAGCGGGGAACTGATTTTACATCCAAGAGAATGGAGAAGACACATCTCAATTTTGAAGGAGAACACCCCGGGGAATGAATCAAAGAGTCTTCTTTTGTAAAATTAATGAATTATGATAATTTTATTTTAAATGAAACATAAGGGAAAAACCTTTTGCTATAAAATATATTTTAAATGCTTATTTTATCCACTAATTTAATCTCGTATTCTTTCGAAAAAAGTCTCTGAAGAGCACACTTCTAAGATAAAGAAAGAAGAGTAAACTT